GTCTGCATAAAACACAAAACCAGAATACCCACTTGTATAATTCTTGGATGTCTTCAGCACCAAACCACGTCAGCAGCTCTGATGAAACAGAAAACTAGGAAAGACCTTCAAAATCGACAGACATCTTGTTGGGAAAACTGCAGCCTTGGTAGTGCTGCTGTCTTTTTAACCCAGCCGGTCTGTCCTTGCCCAGAATTCTAAGGATGAACTTCATTCAAAACGTAACGAGGACTCCAGGTTAGGCCAGTTCCTCTGGATTCCCCTGTGAACAGTGGGTAGTTCTGGGGTGTACGGGCAGCGAGGGCCGCGGGTGGGGCGAGTCCCACACTTATAGGAAGGTGCCCGTTGCCTTCTGTCTGTCTGGTGGGGTGCTGGTCTTCAGGAGTATTGGCAATATTTGGTTTTACGAAATATTGCTGTAAAACGCAACTGTTTTGTGATTTGCTCCTTTTAGAGGAATAACTGAACTGTTGCTGTGATGATTGTGCTTGCAGCACTGCAGTGATAGAACGTAGCGCTTGATGGGAAAACGATCGGACGTTACCTTTTCTTAAAACAACCAACCCCCCCCGTCCCCTGAAGCCCTCCTGAATGGTAGTAAATTAAAATGGTTTTAAGCTTGAGAAGTATTTGTGCTTAAATTGTACCATTTGAATCCAGTAACTTTGAAAACGGTGTGGTTCTGTTGTAAATATATAGTAAAAGGGGTGTGCAGTGCTTTGTTGGAATGTGTTTACAATACTTGATGCATTCAAGTTACTTTAGTTTTTGTTATGCAGGTCGTGTATTTTGTCTGAAAGCTGCTAAGAGAATTGCATTTTTGGTAATGTTAGCCTGTACTGAGAGAATAAATGTTAAAAGATGCGATGCTGTGAAGTTTACTGTCTCATTGTAGCAACTGCACGTTGTCACAGACTCACAGAAGTATTGGTATAACCCTTGGTTTGGGCTTTTTTTTTAATAGTTTAGAATTGAGGGAGATCTTGAAGGTCTACATTAAATTATTCCCCCCGCCCCCAACCATCCAACCATTCACAGTCCCAGTGCACTGAATAGTCAAGGTCAGTAGGTTTGAAAAAAAACCCCACAGCCTGAAACAACAGTGCCACTGCCTGACAGAGGTCAGAACACCCGAGAAGGTGCTGGTGCTCACAGTGAAGCTGCAGAACTGTTCTTTTATAATAATCAGTATTTAGGGGACTGTAGCTGGAAGTTCATGTAACGCTCCAGCTACGTCAGAAAGCCCGAAGCGGCTCTGAGGGTTGTGCTGGCACACACCAGGGAGAGGGAGATGTAAAAGCTGGGTGCGGCGCGGAGCAGGCCTAGCGCAGTAGTTCTTCAAACCAGCTCAGTCCTGAGGCTCCCTGTGTCTGTGCCCAAGTCACAGCTCAAGCAGGGGAAGTTACCGAGTCCTTAGGCTTAAATTAGGGAGCAGAAGCGTTACGCAGTGGCGATGGGGGGTGGCAGTATCACTAAGGCCGCTGAGTTCTCTGCCCTCAGGAATGGGGTCTGCTGTTTTCTAGGACCTGGTTTAAAAAACAAAACCCAACAACAGCAAACCCAGAAAACCATTTGTAATGTCAGTGTTTCCTTGAGGAAAACTACCCCACCCAGCCCCTGTCCCGATATGTGGATTTCATATTTCACTTAAAAGAAATAAGAAACCTTCCACGATGGGCTTTAAGCTGCTGCCTTGTGCTCTCCAGGGGCAGTTACTGCTTGTCACAGCTATGGACGAAGTCACAGGCGGAGTTCACCTGTTTGTCTTACCCCATAAAACTTAGCTGAAAATAAACTTCCACAAGTGTTATTTGTAACAAACAATAGCAATTCACTGATTTCGTCAAGAAACTTGTAATGAGATTGTTTAGTGCGTTTCACTACATCTGTTTTGTTAATAGGGCAGTTGTTATTACCAAGCACAAATTAATTTGGTTCTGCTTTTCCACAGCAATGTTTCCAGAACCTTGTATGATCCGTCTGCTGAAAAAGGCCTCTTTAAGTATATCACAGAGCTGTAAACTAATTTGAAACTGTTCTTACAAGTTTCTCAAGTGTCATTTAACATTTCGAAGCATAGAAAAATATCTAAAAGTAGTCTTGCAGGAAAAGGATGATCTACTTCATACATTACAGAATGTAAATCTTCTTTGTAAAAACTACAATTTATTTTCCTGTATAGCAACAAATCTCAGTTGTGAAATCCAAAGATGAATAAAGCTGTATAAAGGGAAGGTTCTTCGCATAATTGCATTTATTAAAACTTAAGCATGTCTCGACGCTTTTGATGCAAGGCTTCAAAGAGGGCAGCTCCCTTGCTCAGTCTTTATGAGGACAGTCTGCAGCCCGAAGCTGTCCTGATGCCAGCTGAACAACGGTCCAGGTTTCTGGCTGCGCAGGGAGGTGACTGAAGAGGGGCAGAAACTGCAGATGAACGTTCAGCTGCTGCGAGGGCCGGGCTGTTGACTGCAAGCCTGGGGGTCAGTCGCAGTCTCGAGGTTCAAGTTCGTGTGCGATGAAGAGCTAGGAAACGTACTGTAACGTACCGTGACTTGGGTTTGAGCCTCCAGCTGGAGAGTTAAGTGAGAACCAACATGGGCAATGACAGGAAGCCTTGCTCAGGTAAGCTGTTACTTAAATTTGCAGGTAAAAGCGTGTTTCACCAGGTAAACTGGGACTTTGATTACAGACCCAACCGTGAGTCTTTAGCACTTCCGTCTCATTCCTGCAAGCAGTCAGGTTGCAAAAAGAGCTATCAAAATACTACAAACCCAAACCTTAAGCCACGTATCAGACTGTTCTGAGCATGGTTCACAGTGAGGCACGCTCCTGGGATTGAGGCTCTTGTAAATGAATGTCTGGATAGGGGTGGACTGACTCCCATTAATCTGCTACAGCCCTCTGGCTTTTGTTTTGTTATTTTAAAAAACAAACCAACCAACCAAATTAGTACAATGGGATAAGCAATATATGGTCTCAAGTTCCTGTCCCAGACACCCATGCTAGAAATGGCAGAGAATAATTTGAGTGTTACTCATGCTGCATTAGTTTACCTTCATTAAAATTGTTTGGAAGGAGGCACAGAGCATGAGGATTTTAAGACCTCTGAGCTGTAGCACTCACTTTTTCCTTGGGTTGAGCAAGTACACAATGACTTCTAAGCTTCATGGTTGGATTTTATTACAAAGCATGAGAGAGCATGGTCATTTTCAAATACGGAGAATTAAGACACCTCAGAAAAGAGACTTAGAGACAATTTGTTATGCTGTTTGCACAAGGTCCCCTACGATGACTGACGGGCTCTCGGAAGGCAAGGTGAGCAAGTCGTCCTTTCTGCTTGCTTAGTTTCCTTCAGCTTCAAGCCCTGGCTGTGCCTGTTCTCCTCCAGAACTCCCCTGAGGCACTCGCACAGCCCCTGTCTGCCAGGCCTCTTTTCCTAACATCAGACTTGGTCGTCCTCTGAGAGGGTGGCTGCCAGAGACTTCCAGCTCGACAAAACTTGGCCTTCCTGCTGCCCAGCTGGTGCCTCCACAGGAAGCTGTATCCTTGAGAGCACTGCTGGGGAAAGGTCGGGGAGGCGGCTGTCTCACACCATGTACCAGAAGAACACGGAAGGAATGTGTCTGGACTCGCCTGCTACTAAGTGATAGTCATTCCTCTGAACTTGTATTTAGGGAAGAGATTTTATTGTTTAGCCTAGAGAGAACAAAAGGTTCTTATTTGCCAAGAGACAGAAGCGAGCAACGTAACTACATGGAAAAATGTCAGCCTCTGGTAGACTTCTTGTTTGGGCAGCCTGGGGAAGCAGGACAAGGGGGAAAGCTGAAAGCTTAAGTGCATGATGCAAGTGAGCAGCATACACATAAGAGCAGGCACCCACGTAACACACGCCAAAGGAGGTCTGAGGCCTTTGGAAAATGCGTGTGAGTAACTTCATCTGGTTTTCTTTCACATTGAATGCAGCAATGACTAGGATAAGCAGATGCCTTAGCAGTAGTCTGAGGACAACAGAAAAAAGATGTGATAAATAGTGCAAAGAGGGTAAGAGAAAACACTTCAAGCTCTAAAACAGCAACAACCTGAGCAGAGCAGTAACTCCATGGATGGATGAAAACAGCTACAGGTGCCCTTCAAAAACACAGTTTAGCTACGAGCCTGACAGTGAGGTCAGTGCCCCAGAAGCTGATGGAGAATGCCATCCAGCAGCACCTGCAGCTGGTTACACAGCTTCAGCACTGGGCAAACAGGACAAGGCGTGGGGGTACAGGGCTGCTTATTTGGTAAGTAAGTGGAGGAGGCTGAAGAGGGGAAGGAACTGGAAAGCAGAAAAAGAGTGGAAACGATGTAGGAGTTCTACGACACTAGATATGCCCATTTAGCACAAAAGCAGTACAACCTTAATTCTTACAGTAAGATGTTAAAATTAAGTATCTTTCTGGTATTTTTTTAAAATCCTAACATCAACCACAAGTGGTTTTAAAATAGGATAGTGGCTTTGTGACAAAGCTGCTTTATGTCATTTCTGAGGCCCTACAGAGAGAACAACTACACTTATGGCAGCATGACGCCCAGAAACACCAGCAGGCAGTATTAACAGGTTGAATTGGAGTCCTCCTATGCCTGGAAACAGAGAAGGTGCGCAATGGTAGTAAGTGCTGTTTCTAGATGAGCATGCTATCAAAACAGAATTAGAAATCTGCTCTCCCCTAACATGGGGATTGCCAAATCCCACTCCGTTGTGCAGCCTCCACCTGTCCACCCCGTTACTCCTCTTCAGAATACTTCTCTTACGAGGAAAAGCTGATGAACACATATCCAAGTATAAAAAAAAAAAAGATCTTTCACAAAGTAGACAAGGCTTGATGTAGTCATAGCACTGTTCATGTATTTCAGCATCCATTCCTCTCTTCTAGGAAGAATTTCATTTTACTAGTAATCCTTCCTGAAGCAAAGTAGTTTTGGTACATTTTTAGAGCAGGATACTTTACTATGCAAAGGATTTATTCTATTCCTTTTACACCTTCCAATTTTACTGTATAGTAGCAAGAGGATGGAGGGAGATGAGGAGCAAACACTACTCTTAAAGTCCTCACACTTCCAGTGTGGTGTGCTGCAACTCCAGGTGATTGCTCAGGCTGGGGTACGCGGCTGACCATCAGTCTCATCAGCAGTTGATTTGCCCAGGTTATTCCAAGTGCTGGAGAGACTCTGTTATGCACTCCGCTATAAAGAAAGCATTACAGATTTCTGGAGGTGTGAATTGAATATGAAATATCTACACTTCTGTTGTAACAAAATTACACTGGAAGAAGTAATCTACTGTTTCTAAATTCACTGTTGTTTCCTATATTTAAACCTAAAGGTCTTTTAAGACAGAGATCACAGGGTATACTCACAAAACTATACCCTAGGTTCTCTCCACAGCAAGGTAACAACTGGAAGAGAAGTGCTTCTATAAAGGAGGATTCAGTCACTCTTCCAACCACAGCCATGGTGAATACCTGCCTCTGTCTTGACAGGTCCCTCTTGTGACAGGAAAATAGCAATAGAAAAATGATCGAACTTTAAGAATTTGAAGTGTGTAACTGTTGGCCCTGGATTCCATTCAAAGGTCTATTTACAAATGTTCGGTAGATGTAACACTGCGTAAGTGTTACTTTCAACCTGAAGTTAAAAACAATTTTTTTTTTCCTGGAAAAAGCGCAGTCTCCCCGGTAAAACAATTACAAGGTAACCAGGGGAAAAAAAAAAAAAATAAAAAAAATTAACCTTATTAATGTCCTGGGTCAGTTTCTGAATCCAGAGAACGTAACTAACTCCTTGCAAAAACACATTTATGTAGCACCTAGCTTATCTACTAAATCAAGACAATAGTTACAATTAATTCAAACAACTAATATGTGAGTTTGAATCCTGTTAATATCTTGGTGTCAAAAGACACTCCTTTATTTTCTTAGGCAACTAACAAAACCAACTGATAAGGTTTCGTTGCTGTATTTTTTTTTAAGCAGCCAGAAAATGCACTCTGTTATATCAGAGTCAGGAAGAGATGCAAAACCACTCTTGTGTAAGCAAGTACACCAGCCATTAACTACTCCAGGGATTTTTTTTTCTCCCAAACTTGCTGATTAGGGATTACAACATAAGTGTGTAGGACAGCTTCTTCCACTTTACAGCACATCAGTTGTTGCTGATCTCCAGCACACACAGCATTGCTGGGTGAGTGCACTACTGCTCTTAACACACACTGGTAGTTTATACTGGAGTTATAGAAGAAATACAGTGGTTAAACACTGCCGTGTGTGGCATTGCCACATTTCTGTTGCGGGTGACTTACCTACAACTGCACTGAGCAGCTTCCGACTCGCTCACTGCATCGGTCACCTAAAGCAGAAAAACGATGTTTGAAGTTGACCTGTAGTTACGCAGTTGTTTTTAGCAAGCAGAAGGGCAGGGAAGGGAACGAAGCCAAGAAACTTCAAATGCTGCTGGATCACAAGTTAATCCAAGTTAGAAACCCCTTATTCTTCCATGGCAAACTAAAAGAGAGTTATGAAGTCTCATCTTGCTCTACAGTGCTACAACTATTTAGGTAGCTACAGCTTGTATGAATTTAACTACGATTAAGTGCTTAATTTGTTAACAAAATAAACAAACAAAACACACCCCCTCAAAATTGTTCCAGTGCTGCAGCTGTAGATAAAAGGTACTGAAGTGTGGGGGATCTCAGCTGGACTGAGGCCCCTGGACAGGACTACTTTGACCTTGAGAGAATTCCAGTCTACCCATGAGGGAACAAACAGGAATAAGAAGAGTTGCAGCTGCAAGATAAGCAAGTCCTGAGAAAGTGTTGACCACAAGACAAGGCGTACATATCCTTTTGGCAGAAGAGCCGAGTTATAATGAACTGTGCAAATAACAAATGATAAGACTGTATAACAACTTTGAACCAATTAGAAAGAGACACATCTCGAAAGCTAAGGGAAAAGAGAGCATAAATGACCAGAGAAAGAGAGCAATGAAGGCTTTTGTACTACCAGGCTTTCAAAAAGACTTGTTGTCTTGTTGCTTTGTCCGTCTCGACCGCAACACTGAAACCCAAGTTTCCAAATGATGTCCTGTTCTCAATGATTTCACTAGCTTTGAAGGCCACTAAGGAGCAGTTTGTCTTAGACTACAACCTAGAAAAATCCACCCCTCTTGACTCCCTCTGTTGTCTTTTAACGTCATGATTCTTCCACACAAGTTCTTCACAAAGTACAGCAAATTAAGTTATAGGTGCTTCTCTAAATGTAACGTACAGAATGGATTATTTTCCAGCCATAATCTTAAAGTTATTATATTCACAGTTTATCTCTGTGATGTATTGAGTGACCTTCCATTATATTACAGTGCCGAAGGACCCTTTGTTAGCAAACAGTCAGACTGCTGTCATTCAGCATCAGGCAGTGACCTCATCGGTTGTGAGCCAGCCCCAATCACGGGAAGGCAGATCTAAGCAGGTCTCTTAAATCACCCCTTTCCCTCTCATGCTGAACCATTCCAAGGTAGAGACTGGATACATCTAGACTTACACTGCCCTTAAATCAGAACTTCTTTTGACTGCTAGATGGGCCCTCAAAACCCCCAGGAAAAGGCAGACAGGCTTTTCCAAACACACATACTCGTAGTATCCCAGAAGCTAGCCAAGGAACCAGCTCCAGGGGTTGGCTTCGTAGCATAAATGCTGAAACACCCAAACCTTTGCTTAACAAAGAGCAAAATCCAAACCTTGCTTCCCAATGTCTCTGCTAATACCAAAATTCAGAAAGCAGTTACAAGAAACCCCAGTTTTCCTCAGAAGCTAGCTGACCCTGTGAAAGATTATGTAAGAAGTTGCTTAAAAATTCAGAGTGACTCAAGGTTGAAATTGAAACCTTCCTGAATCCTAATGGGACTCTTACTGAAAATAAAACTCTGTGCATGCCTGAAAGCTGCTCAGATTACTGCAGTGTATGAATTCCCATATGCTTTCTTCCAGTTATGGTAGAAAACGTGAGGTTTTACACACTGCCCATGAGGTAGCTCCAGAAGTTCCCCCAGGGAGCAGAAACAAACCAAACGTGTAACAGTTGACTTGATGTTTCTAGAACCTCTTTCTTCTTGATATAAAATTCTTCTTATTTCTGACTTCAAGTTCAGCTTTTCTCCCTACCTGTTTTCTTCCACTATGAGAAGGAAACATCAGGGCTGAGTACTTATTCGTTCGATGGAAGGGCCTTCTGGAACGGAAGTTTCCCAACAGTGGTGTGCCTGCACGTTTACTTCCCCCTTTCTCAGGCTGCATTCCAAGTGCGAATGCTTCACCTCCAGCACTCATGTGCTCCTTCAGTCTGCAGTTAGACTAAGAGCAGTGGCATGCTGCTTCTGCAGGAGAGAAGTAGTGTCTCGGCTCGTTTTCTCAAAAGAATGGTCTTTTTGATGAGTATCATTGTGGCCTTTTCAGCTCGAGTCAGCACGCGTGTGTTCTAATGCTTTAGTAATCTCAGCAGTCACATGAAAACGCTGAGCTACACAAAAATGCAGCAGAGTCCCTGGTGTTTCACTGTCTCCTGTACATGTGGAATGTAACTGTGCATGCAGAGTTCCCAGAGCAGTCCTGCTGGCGATGGCATTTGAAGCTAGTGTTGAGAAAGAGCTCTGTTATTGTAGTTCGCCGCTTTGTGCATTTGCCATATGTATCTATTTTCATTAGCTTTAATGGACAGCCTTTGAGAACATTAATAGTCTGTAAAAGCTTAAATGACATTCTTAAACTTCTAGAGGTTAAAATTTACTAGTTTAAAGTACATCAGTTTAAGGAAGCTCCAGTTTCCACCAGTCAATTAAAACCCAGTTAACAGTGTTAAGTACAGCACCAAGAAATCTGCACACACAGACTTCCCGCCCTGTCCACCCCAGCCATTTATTGAATGGTTCCTATTAAAATCAGAAGCAATTTTGATGTCATACCTGATTAATGCACATTATTGGAGTCCTGAATCTAGTGCTTAAACTGTGAAGTTGTGCTCCAAATGTCTGCAAATACCGAGCCTTCACAACAGAGTCTGAAACTCCAAATTCACATCGAAACAAAGCAGCAATGGAGTCTATGACCACCAACCGCACCATGCCTCTTGCGAGCAGTAGGGAAACCCTTTTAGTGATGCAGTTGTGAAAGGTATCCTACACAAAACACAAACAGCCAGCATTAAAACAGTTCAAATAACTAGTTGTGAAATTGAGAGTAACCACAGCTACCGTCACCGAAACACGAGCCGATGGAGCTTCTAATCATAAAAGCAGTTTGCAGATCTTTAAGTCTCACTAGTAACCATTTTTTGCAAATGTCTTGTGATTTTACCTTAAGAAAAAAAAAACACCAAAAAAAACAGAGACCAAACTGCAATGTACAGTTATCTGCAGCCCTGACTTAAATCAATTATGTATCAACATTTCAAAATCTCAAGAATGCAATACTACAACCCCAACCCATTCCTGTTTTGCAGGAGTGGTTCTCACTGAACCACTGAGGACTCAAGACTAGCATTAAACATTCAAACCAGAAGTTAGAGACTATGCTGCTATTCCACCAACCATGTATTAACAGTAAAATACAGAGTTGCCACATCCAATCTATATTGATTGAGAGTTTTATAAACATGAGTAGCTGCAACTTACGTCCTCCCTATTAGAAGGGTTACTGACTGAACATTTTGAAGTCACCAAATATTTCAACTGCAGGAAGTTTAGCTAACAAGTATTTTGTAGGGTGCAACTTCCATCATGTAAGAATAATCCTATCAGTCAGATGAAAGGTCCTTGCAGCCCCTTATCCTGGCTTTAACAGTGTGGTCTGCAGCAGCAGAGTAGAAAGGAGAACAAGCTCATGGTGATAACCTCAGCTTCTGGCCATTGCAGTTTCAGCATTAGCAAAAAACAGCAATAATGTGAGAATCACAGTTCTGATTGGTGCCACTCTTTACATCTACACAGGGGTTCACAGCTAAGAGCTTACATGCCTCCAAAATTATATACAATACAGTCCAGTGTTCCACAGCTTCTAAAGCTAAATTGTAATCCTCACATCTGAATTACAGTAAGGTCTATTCAACCAAATGAGCTGCTTTTTACAAAATAAGTAATATTACAATTAAAAAAAGCCTTTTATTTATTTTTTTTAAACTGAGGGGAAAAAATTACTCTGAAGAATACACGACTGCTTCCCATTCTGGAAAATGGATTTTTTTTGTTTCACTTACTGGTATATCTACAGGAAGCTACACTGCACTTCAAACACCTCAGTGTTTGTACATGGTCCTTCTGTTCGTACAAGACTCATTCTTTGCAAGTGAACACACGAACAATTGGATTCTTCAGAATGAAGGAAGTAAAAAACATTTTTTGATGCAAAATATAGAATGTCATTGTGATTTGGGTTTCTACTTCAGTTGCTACAATCTGCCTATCCCTACAGAGCAATGTGTTCCATGTACGCACACCCCGGATCTATACATGGCAACAAATGAACTGTAAGAACCTACTGTGCAGTCGCTGGACTCACCAGTGAGTGTGGTGTTTTACTCTTAAGGGTATTTTACAGAGACGTACATACTACTATAGGGTGATTCTCTCCTCTTTACAACAACATACTCTGTAGCTTCCAGAAACCTCAATTAGAACTTGAGTTAGTATTTCCAATGAAAGAGACACAGAAGAGGTAGCTGAGCTGCTGCCTGGACCACACAGTGAGTAAGTGGCAAGCATACCAATGTACAAGATCTTCTTTCACTTGCAAACTACAATTAAAAATGCTCAACAACTGGAATGATTTAACAAGGGCTACTTTCAAGCCTTAGAGAAAAACAGAACTGACGTTCTATCAATAAAGAGCAGTCGTGGCTACTTAAGAAAAAGCACAAAACCGTGGGTTTACAAGGCAAGAACACAGTACTGAAGTCCGCTTCTTTTCCCCTCCAGTTCTACTTTGACATCTCACAGGCAGCGGGGCAGGACAGCTGCGCTGCTGTGGGTATGCAGTGCCATTAACTGTTCCAGGCATCATTTTTGTATCCTTTCCTCCCATCTGCTTAATCTGCAGTTTAACAAGTCTGGTGTTAGCCAGGATACATGCCACCTTTTGCATATTTATTTATATCCTGTCTCCAAACTCAATGAAGACCTCCTTAGGAACTGCAATAAAATTAGTAGCAGTAAGTCTACTACATTTAAATAAACGTAATTACTTACAAAAATCCACTACATGGTTCACTCTAAAAAATATTAATATTTCTCTCAATATCTTTCATAATAAAACACTCTAATAGTTCTCTAACAGCAAACCGCAGAGATTAAGAAGTATTCATTACAGATCTTAGTTCACTTTTAGCCTTTGGAAAGGTCTCCTATATAAGAAAAAACCCAACCCTGTGGTTATTGAATTATAGTGTAATAATTTGTGCTAGTACTTACTAGGTCTGCTGCATGCTCAACAAAAATATTGTTTCCAAATTTGATCTTCTGTATGATTTCAGCTGGAACATCTGCACGCAGCTTATGTTGTTGATCTATGAGCTGCTGCAAACGTTTACTTGGGAACACATCTTCTGTACAAATGTAGACAGCTCCTATAGTCAAGGAAACCACCGCTGTTATTACACCAGGGCTCTTACGCACGCAATTTTCTTAACAGCACAAAAATACAATAATACATTCTGCACTGAAAAGCTAGACATAAGTACCTGCAAGTTCCTCTTACTTTTTTTTTGCAGCCACATCGAATCAATGACGAACAACAAAAACACACTCCTACGAATCAATGATGAACAACAACAAAAACACACTCCTATGACTTTCCTGTAATTGCCAGCTCCTTTTTTTGGCGCCTGCTGACACAACGGGATTTTTGTACTCTCCACTAGGTGACACTCTGCACAGCTGCAGAACACCTCACCGCCTCGCTTGGGGGATTACAGGTATCGTAAATAGAGCAATACTGCATAGTTAGTCAGAAATCCAAAACACAGCAGCGTACTATGAAGAAAATCAGCTATCCCAGCCAAAATCAGTACAACTAGTATTTTGATTAATTTCACTCACTGTTTTCAAGTTTCTTGGGTTTAAATTTACAAATGGAGGGGTATTTATTGCCAGTTTGTAAGCCAGTTTAAAGAGAATCACTCATCCAATCCCAGTCCTGAAATTGGCAGATTAGATAAAAAGCATTTTACTTCAATCACATTACTGTGAGTGACGTCTAGAGATTTTTACTGTGATTTCTAGTTGACAAGTATGGATTATTGCAGAGAAAATTAACCATACATTGATATCAGAGATGTTGGGGAAAGAAAACAGAAGTGCATGCTATATTTTCCTTATAAAAAATTGTTACTGTTACTGCAGAACTAGCCAGAACTATCAGCAAATACTTATGGGGTTACCTCTAAGGACTAAGTCCACTCACTAACGTGGCTGAAGCTGCTAACACAGCTTGGCAGCTGATGTGCTTGGCAGTATGAGACATCCCGAACATTTCCACCCCAATGGTCTGTCTCTACATCAGCTCTCCAGGGAGCAGAAAGTCCCATTTCCATATGCAACTTCCAAATCCTCTATATATTCCACTGAAAAAAAAGTGTGAAACTATATCCAATAGCAGAAAATGAAAGATCTCAGGACTGGATCAAGTGAAAATTAATGGTTACTTTATCAATAAAAATATTTTCCTGATGGACACCTGGATAACACAGGGTACTGAATTCTGAGAATCTTCTATACAAGACAAAGACGAGCTTAAGCCTAATTTTCTTTAGAGCTAAACTTGCATCTTCAGCTTAATTCTCCCCAACCCCACCATAAATTCTTACCAAAAAATCACCCTACTGCACATATGTAACATTTTAAAAAATAAATTATTTTTCCAAGACATAGTCTTATTTTTAAGCACTCAGAAAGCTATCAGGTAAAGCAAAAAAAATTACCCATGCCCACTAATTTAAAAAATTGTCTTTGCCAGGTGACAATTAAAGGCCTTCCTCAGTTATTAATACGTGGAAAAATACTTCATCATCATCATCCACACCTTCCATTGGAGGTACTGACATGTTTCCAGAATTTTTATTTCTATTTTACCTAATAACAGGTTCAAATTATACTTTGGCTCCTTTTTACTCTCCTTGGCCCTGGCAGCCAACAGCATTTATCATTAGAATATTCAGTCTCCATTCTCAATTCCCAGTTTCATTATGTATATGCTTACGTCAGAGGGAACTGAGGGTTGTTGGCAGTGTACAATATTTAATAGTGAATAAGGACAACAATAAAGCATTAGTGATCAGAGCAGTCATGATCTGATCACGATTTCTGAACTACAACATATAAAAAAAACTAAGAAGTTGAACCACGAATATCTTCTGTACTTTCCCCCACTTTTTTTCCTAGTGTTAGAGTCGATGGAATTCTGAATTTTAAACTGTGGACATAAATGCTGTCTTTGGTCATTACAACAACTGAAGTCACACGCAATACCTGTAGGCTCAAACAAGCATGTATACCAAAAAAAGAGCAAATGAGTCCACAGTTACTTGAATCCGTTAAGTTCACAGTGACATCAGCAGCTTGTTGAATACTATCTGAACTTGTATGACGCTCAGGTGAGGAAAACACAGCGAACTATTAATCATACCACTTATCTGCTTAAGGCTTTTTAAACAGCTAGTTATTAAGCCATTAATGAGGTGAACCTTAACTTTCTTAACTATTTCCCTAGGTTAATTTCTCCTAATTGGACTCATTTTCATATCACTCTCCAACCTGACAGTAAGAGCTGAGTATCAAACAGGCAGGTGAGTATCTTTACTACGGGCAGTTCATGTGTTCCTAATCAGATTTCCAGTTTCATCATTTCTAATAAGCCAGTAGGTCAAGCAAAATTTCTAATCGGAAATGTGACATTATGTATATCTAGCACCAACACTCACTCAGATAAGCCAATTATGTCTTGCAACACTTACACCACAAACCTGAAAATCATTAAGATGCAAATTCAGAACCAAATAAACCAAGAAAACCCACCAAGATATGCAGCTTCCTTACGCCCATGCGGTTTCTGAATTTCCCACTAACAAAAGCTATGCTAACTTGTGTCAGCTAGCAACTTAACAGTTGCTAAGGTAAAACATTCTGGACTTCTCATCTACCATTCTTATTCATAGCTGACTGCCTTTTGCACAACATTGCCCAATGCTGAAAGAGGAATTTCTTTACCATGAATGCTGGCTTATAGAAAAATCATCTGCTTTCTAATAATCAACCCCACCTTAAGCAGTATGTCGCTTGTCCTCTCCTTGGTTTACTTAAAAAGGATGGAATGTCTGTTTGTTGTCAAAACTTCCTGGTCGTTGTTTCTTCAAATGCAGATTTGCATTTCTAGATGGATCAGTGCTCCATTGATTAGATAACTGCATTTTGATCCAGAGTTATTGCAACATTCAAGACATTTCAAAACAGAAAACCTGAGAAAATTGCTGAAAAAACGCACTTTTTTTTCAAAATTAAACTTATCTGGAGAAAAAGAAATGTAAAATTCTCCTAAAGATCTTCTTTGCAGATGATTTCGTACACTAGTAAGAACAGCGACAGAACAAACACAAGGCAAACCCAGAGGAGTATAAAACAATCAAGCATCTTACTGTATTACAAACTTACATGCAGTTGTGGCCCAGTTTCACATTTATACCTGATGAACAAGTAAATTGAGGCAAACAAGGTAATCCTACAGTTGTAACACCTGGAGGCAAAAAAGAACAGTGGGAGAAGCAAAAATCTGGTCCTCTCTGCTCCACTGGTCCAGCAGCCTGTATTTAAAACTCCTGATCAATAGATAGACACTATCCTCTTTGTCAAACCATGACAGCAGTTTTACAGTTTAAGTGAACACATTTATTCAGGTTAGGTTTTCTTAGTCAAACACTTGTAAAAAAAGAGAGATCCAGAAGATTAATTCCTTCTTGAGAACAGTTCCACTTCATAGACTATTTCCTGCCTCAGTTTAGTTTTGTAAATGCCAGCATTCAGTCACCTGCCAACCTTCTACTCTGCTGTAATGCTTCTTTGACACCAGTTCAATCTACTGCAGCAGATACTGTACTCTGAGTATGTAACTGGTCCATTTGTGATTCTCCAAAATATATAGTGGGACAACCTTTTTTTTTTTCTTTAAGTGATGCTCATTTCACAAAATAATTATGTAATTGTCATCTTGAACTTTAAGAGAGTAAAGCTACATAAAATATACCAGATGAGCTTTGTCTGGGCTTAAAATTTGAGTTTCACAGTGCAATGAGAATAGCACTCTCTCCTACTGGACCTTCACCACCAAGCCTCTGCAGCTTTTGTTTGTGCTCTTCAGTTGGAATCACACAGAAACATTTGATTAAGGAGAATAGATACACATGCATCAAAAATACAGGAGGTGCTTCATGACAAAGTTACAATGGCTAGAAGAGACTGACAAATAACTAAACTCAATATTAAAGACTGATGCCCAATTATGAGGCAAAAGCACTTAATATTCATAGATCTTTAAAGATAAGCGAATTATCATGACCTAGATGAAAAGAGGAGGCTAGCACCACACAAACGGAAACGCCTATGGCATCGTGCTGCTTACAGTTTATTAGGAAGCCGTCAACACTGACAACAAGTCAAGAGTCAGTCACCCCTTTTGAGAAAGAAGCTCAGACACACTCTTAAGAAGTCAGTTGTCCTCAGTGACCACATAAGCATCTTTCCTTACAGGTCCACAAAACCCAAACAGAAATCAGCGTATTTCATCAAATCCTAGTGCTTTACGTCACTTAGGCTGATAAAAGCGCTATGTTGGTTGTTGACCAAACCCCACCCCAACACCAAACACACAAAAATAAAAACACACTAAAAAACCCCACCCTCAAAGGAGGATGAATTTTGAGCCTTATGAACATAATCTGTCGTGCACCAAACCAGCTTGTTACCAAGGATCGGCAACAAACATTTTTTCCTAACTCAGAATTCTAATATGGATATGAATTTGTCACATTACATTCATGTACTGCTTATGAATTTGGGCATATAAAATAAATTCAGCCAACATGTGATTGACCAAAACTGACATTCTTGGAATGGCAGAAAGATAACCTGGAGGCAAAGGATGTCCTATTTTCTTTGTTTGCTGCCAACCTCCTAGCACAGAGAATTGTAAACAACATTAACACTAAATCAAAGTAAATACATCATGAATCTATACTGTCTAAAGAAATGTATTTCAACATCACCACCTAAGAGAAGAGAAGCTTCTAGCACTAAAAAAAAAACCCCAACCCACCATCATTTGAAATCATTAGCAAAGTTTTAGCACTGAGATTAACCTTCTATTGGCAGTGCTAGATTTCTGTGATAGTTACTAAGCATCGTTGTTCTCAAGTTCCCTATAGAATAAAACGCCTCATAAGCTTTTAATTCCTGTATTTCTCATAAGAGACTAAACACAACCCTTATTTATAGGCTGCAGAGAAATCAAGTTCCATTTTCCAAGTGCTATGCAAACAGTATCTGCTGCTATGACTGTATGCAGTCTAACATATGGCAAGACACCACTCAGAGTTAAAAACTGGAAGAATTAGGATTCCACCACTCCCTTAGCTTTCCAACTCCTGCAGCAAGATATTTCTGCCTTCTGTACCTTCAAGGTCCTCAAAAGTTCTGCCCTCTCAGCCCTTCTGAAACGCTCTGGCTCTCTCACAGGAGCACTGATACAATGGCCATCCTACCCTATCTTCCATGAAACACTCGGGAGTGGGTAGACGGGGAACACAGGCACGACAAAGCACTCGTAATGGCACCAAGTGCTAGGTGCATAACAAACAAGAACCATCTTCAAGTACAAATAATAACAAGACTTGCCATTCTGTAGCCCTACAAGGCAGGCTGTAGTCTGGTACAAGAGACAAGACTGCCATTAGGATGTTGGGCACCGTGTGTACTCCAGCCCGGTTCGCTCCTTTCTTTCAACGCAAGTAGTGAGAAATGCTGGGGCATGAATAAAAATGTATTTGCATTCAAACTAGTTGCAGCAGTTAGCAGCAACACACGAAGGAATCAAACAAAATATATTTGGTTCTGCTCTGATTAATGACTTAACTTAAAGCAAAGTTATGTAAATCACAGGCTAATTACTGCCCTTTAAACAAGATCTTCATTTGGACATTCCATGATTTTTCCACATGGGTGGATATAGCACAAGAAATAATTAAGTTTCCAAACAAACCACGGAGCTGCCAAATTAAACCCAGTGCTGCACGGAAGAGCAAGATCACAGCCGAAACACACCTAAGGCAGACTACCAGGACACTGAGTTCTCAAAAGTGACACACATTTCCCCCCTTTCTAAGACAGCATAAAATACTTCAAAAAAATATGTATTAGGAGTCAGCTTAGTGTGACAGATGGTTAAAAAATGCATATTCTAATCAAAGAATAAACCCATTCACTTTGTCAAAACCAGGAAAATTGCAGATATAAAAACAACGTTAAGCTTTCTTCAATTAGATTTCCATCAATTTTACACTGTAAATCACTTTAATTACTGTTAACAAACTAAACATTCTCTGAAATTTGAAACCCCCAACTAGGTAACATACACCATAAACCCAAGATGTTTGTGGAAAATTATCTGACAAGCTGTTTTGCTGTGGTTGGTACCTGAGAAGTCATTAAGTATTTAGGACAGCAATGCTTTTCATATACTGTTTGCAGGTGTCTAGTTTAACCCTCAGTGGCAGGCAGGGAAACACCAGCCAATAGTAACTTTGCATTAAATGAGGCTGTGATGCACGGCACGTGCACAGCATGCTCTTCTCTCTGTAAAGCTGCTTTACCAGCTAACCAGCTTACTACTAATGCTACTGCAGAAGGGCAAGACATGCACTGAATTTGTGCATCTACTTCAATGCACTGATGATGTTCTTAAAGACAGTCTATTCCCCTAAATGGCAAATTCATCAGAATTTACACCGCAGTACTTACCGGACTCCAACCCACCGTAGTTGTAAGGATACTGCGCACAAAGGCACAGCTGTAAACAAATCTGAGTCTTCCCAGCAGAACTTTCCCCAGCAAGTTCTGTGATTCCCACTAAGGGAATGCCACCTTTTAACAAGGTATCTAGCACCGAACATCCCAGGCTTAGCTTCTGGTGTTGGGAGGTGAGATGATCTTTATCTTGGTAGAGCTGAAGTGCTGCAGGGTTTTGGATTTTTTTTTAATCATTAAAAAAAAAAAAAGTTTCATTTAGTACCTTTCTAACACTCAATGATACAAAATAGAGGCAGTATACCAGGTTTAGGTCTACAAGGGTCGCTTTCTTTATTGATGGGAAATTTTTCTAGTTCAGCCTGGTCTTCCCCACCTCCCTTTCCCCGCAGGGCCTCCTACCTGAATGCCTGTTCAAAAATGGATAGTTTACACTGACCCCTTTCCTCTTCTCAAACTTTTTTCCTTTCTCTGTCTCTAAGGAGTCTCTATGGAAAGCTACACTCTGGGAAAATATTGCCAGCAAGGTTCAAGCACAGCAATTATGGAAATGGAAAGCTATAGCAGACTATGAAACAGTGTACCAGGCACCCGGCCAAGGCCTGAAGACATATGCAAATCACAAGAAAATAAATTCCAAACACACAGCTGCCACGAAGCATTTGTACAGGAGAAGCTCTTAGGGCCTGTTTGCTTTGGAATGAGATGTTTATATAAGTTTTTCAACTGGTTTTAGTCCAAAAGGGAGAGGGAATCTTTTTTTTCCCCTCTAAACAAGTTTTTCATACTGGAGAATCATTTTGTCCTGTTTCGGGCAGGGTTGACCCTGAAGAATGACACCTATCCCCTTCCATCTACCTTCAAGGTCTCAGAGGAGCTGTCCTTCAGATCATTAAATAATTCACTACAGCAAAACAAAAACTCTTGCCTTTTCACTTTCAGAATCACATCACTGTGTCAATGAGGAGCTGAAACTATTTTCTCCCAGTGATAGTATTTTAAGATTTAAATAGAATACTTTTTTTTGTATTGACTATATTACCTGTAAGCATATCACTTCTCCTCAGTGTGAGAGAGACTGTTTTCAGCAAGCACTGCGTATCTGCACTGGATAGTTTCATCAATCTTTGCAAGTCTGCTCCAGAAAGATTTAAAATCTCTTTTATTGATTTTATTTCAGCTGAAATGAGAAGATTTTTTATAAATACTTTTGGCTGCATTACAGTCTTACGCACAAAAGAAAAACTTTTCCCACTTTCTGCTAATCATTTACTTGAGCTTTATCTACACTGCATTCTTGTAAGCTAGGCAGGCAACATTTACTTTCAGTGTACGGACACTTGATACAAAATTGTTTGGAAATTATTATTGAACCATGGGAAAAAGCCATCACTTCTGATTACTCAAAAAACTTGCTTATGAAATACTTAATTACAGTTCTAAAACATTACTGTACATCTGTATGGTTACACCCACAAACACATCATTACGTAAAGGAAGACATTACGGTGACAGATGTATTAGTGAGACATTGGCAAATTAAGTTACCTTTCTTAAGCGCAGCAATTACTTTAGGGTTCAAGTCAAACTGGTCCCAGTCCATTTCCTGATACAGCACTGGGGTGAATTATCTGCTATTAAAGAGGCTTTTATGAGATACACATGCAACAGAAAAAATAAGTATAATTCAAAAAGTTTGAAGGAATATTCTTTTTAATTTTTTTAACAGTATATTTATCAGTTATCTTAAAAAAATAACAAAGATTCACTACATTGGCAGAAGTCTTCTGTTTCCATATCTGCTGTTAAAGGGTTCAACTAGTAATACTGCATTTTAAAACTACTAGTATTTTAATAGCTTGTAATTCTGCATAGTGCTTTTGCTCTGCATTGAAGCTTACAAATACTTTGTATGGTCACTTCTGTCCTGCCACTCCTTCCATGAGCTTTGCATTTTCAAATAGAAAAAAAAAAAAAAAAAAAAAAACAGTGAAATGATGCAGGACTATTCATACATTGGATTGTCAAACATATTTTGATTAGCCAAAAGCAAATTTAGTATTAAAACACTAAAATCAGTTTGTTCCTTGTAATATTAAACACTCTTCTTAATCCTTTGATCTAAACCACAACGGTTCACACTGCAGCTGCCTGGAAGAGCACTGTGGGGTTTGTTACTATTGCTCAGACCATCTTTCCGAAGGGTTGCAGCGGACACACACGAGCTACACAAGAACGTATGACTTAACGAACAATCCCTTTTTAACACGGGGGAGGAGAGGTTGCTGGGGAGCCTGACAACGGAACAGACACAGGAGAAGGAACAGTTATTTTTAAGCAACACCCGTTTAAAACAACATTCCGACAAGAGTCAGAAGAGGAAACTCACCGACATTAACCATGATTACGCCGCCTTTGACTGGAAGGGCCCCAGACCGCTCCGTACGCTCCGCTCGCAGGAGGCCGCTCCACCGCGGCCGCTCTCCGGGACACCGGGAAGGGCGGGAACCCACCAGGAGCTCACCGCTGGGCAGCCGGGCCTGTCCCACGGTCGAGGCACCGCAAGCGGCCGCCCGGGCCTCTCACAGCCCGCCCGGCCCGCAGAACGGCG